TGTGTGTGTGTGTGTGTGTGTGTGTGTTTGTGTTTGTGTTTGTGTTTGTGTTGGGGGTCACCGTTATTTTAAAAATCAACGGACAATTTAAAAGTCTTGCCATGTGAACCAGGCATAACATTTTAAATTTAGTTGTTTGTATTAATTAAAATGTTTTCTTTTGTCAAACAAGAGATGAAGGATGAATAAAACAATTCTTGGACAAAAGAAATCATCGAAAATTCTAAAACTATCTGTCTTTTAGCAAAATATCTCACAAACTATTGGACAGATTTTAGTAAAACATCTGGGTTGACTCAAAATKGTTATAGCTCAGTCAAAATGACAAATATTGAACTAAACGTAGTAGCTGATAGTCATCTTCAGTGCATACATTTAGCACCGTCACGTCACGAGCTCTTATAATATTTCAAACATATGTGCATAAAATATACACAACCCTGTCTTCATAAGATCTTTGTTTTAAATGTCATRCATGAAGAGCAGCAGGTGAAATGCAGTCCTTCAAGGAATTCTACGTGTCTTTGTATACAAAACACTTGTTTTCTGATCACATACCTCTTAAACTTCCTTTAGTTTTAGTAGATCTCATTAAAATAAAATAATTAAATTTAGTTATTTTAATCCTCGTGTCATGAATCTAGCAGAACTTCCTGGCATCCCGGTGTTTGTGACAACTGTTCTCCATCAGACYGGGCTGTGTGGAAAATGGCTCACAGAAGCACTCGCCGCCAAGCGGGGAAAGTTCTGCGAAAGACTTGGCTCAGCAGCTGTAATCACAACTGTACAAACAAACCCAAACCGCTAACTTATTTATTTTTAACACTCCTCTCGCCCCTCGGTGCTTTCCGAAGGCGATGCACCTCCTGAGTCACCCTGCCGCTGCACGGCTCCTCGCCGCTAAAATGTGACGTTTAAGTTTTAAATAGTTATTTTCATTTTTTCCCCTCGTCCTTATTTAAGCCATGGATTCTGCTTTGTAGACTAAAAGCATCGCACATGCAGCTCTTTGATCAGTTTTTATTTGCCTGCTTCTATTTTCTATACAAACATATATGAAAAAGGTGATTTTCCTCTCTCAAATATTACTTGTTGTGTATAAAAGAYGGCAAAATACACATTTTCTTTTGCCGTAGAGTGCAGAGAGAAGGAAAAACCTCTCTGAGTGGATAACACTGTCTGTAGGGTAGCCATAGATCTGCAGACTCCTGCTGATATGTTCCATTTTCTCTGTTCTCGATGTGCCTCTCTTATTTTACGAGTGCGCTCTGATATCACCAGGGCAACATGGGTGGATGACTGATGGTGTCCATTAGTAAACATAGCCTCCTATATGTGCCATCGGCCTAAAGAGCCAACGTCTTCAACCTCCTCCTTCTC